AGATAAAATGTGTGAAAAGCAATTGTTTAGCGAATAGTGATTTTTCTGCTTGAAATATAACAGTATTCGAATTTATATGGCAAAAAGCGTTATATGTCTGAACTGCAGTACCTTTACGCTTGATATAACAACGAAAAGCGGACGCTAGACAAAAGAGTATATCAGCGAATTATGGGTTATACTAAGCACAATCCTAGGTAATATTAAAGAGTATTCAGCATATTGGTATAGTTATATTTAAGATTGACGCAAAGGAGATAAAGTAATAAAAAGTAACACTGAAGAATGAAATTAAAATAAAAAAAATAAAAAAGGCGAATAAAATGATGCAAAAGATCAAATAATATAGTTCCATAAAAAGCAAGGGAATGAAATTGAGATGATTATAAGAGCCAAGCTTGGATAATATAGTTTACAAAGAAGAATACTCATTATCGCTTCTGAAACCAAACGAGTTCAATCGGTGATATATTGCTGGAGTCATTCCGTTTGCCTAATTATGTAGTAAAGTAGAAAGGTTGATTCACGCTGGTCTGTCTTCGACGGTAGAAGATTGAATTCCATGGAGAACGTCAACTGTTTGAAAGTCGCCCCGAGAAGTATCTTCTGCAGTGAATATTTGGCTTTGAAAGTTTTCTAACATTGAGCCTTGTGAGGTGAGTTCAACGTCACCTCCGTGACACGCATCTTTGATTTGATAAAGTAAAGATTGCTCCTCTTGATGATAAGCATCAGTGCATGCAGAGGCTGTGCTAGCGTTAATTAAATCCTGTCTTTGCGAGATTTCTTGTCCTGTTGTATTGTCACATGCATCATCTCCGACCGAAAAAAGGTCTTCACCTTTTACATTTCTTACAACTCCTGCAGCAATTTCATCAGATAGTTGGATTGATTCTCTATTGGTAGTATTACATTCAATTTTATCATACTGATCTTTTTGTAAGTTTTCGTTCGATCTGTCATTTTCTCCGACCGAAAAAAGGTCTTCACCTTTTACATTTCTTACAACTCCTGCAGCAATTTCATCAGATAGTTGGATTGATTCTCTATTGGTAGTATTACATTCAATTTTATCATACTGATCTTTTTGTAAGTTTTCGTTCGATCTGTCGTTTTCTACAATAAAATTCTCAGAGAGATTGTCGTCATTTCTGGACTCACTTTCAGTCCCCATAATATCCCCTTGACTTTGGTTTGTCATGGCTTCAATTCTGTTGAAATACTCATTGCCTCCCTCAACCTTTTGTTTTTTCATCGCCTCTATAATTCTTCCTTCAATCAATTTATCTTCGCTTTCTTCGTCTTCATCCTCATCTATCAATGCGTCTTTCTCCTTATTCATTACAATAATTTCCATCTTTTTATTATAGTTCGATTGGGGGTGCTTTTCGAACTCTACATTTTCGTCAGTTCTTTTTTGGTCCTCTTCACTTGTTAAGATAGTATTTTCTTCTTTCAATGATCTTTGAACTTCATTAATGGATGTGTGTGTCTCATCAACTCGCCCCAGTTGTTCTTCAAACAGCTTTTCTTCATCCCCCCTTAAATTCTGAATAGGATCTTTGCAGGCTTCAGTATTTTGAGTTTCTGAAGACGAAAAAGGTTTCGCGAATGGGTGCACCGATGTTGCCTCCCCTGTGAAATCGTATGAGGCTTCGCTCAGACTCCTAAGTTTGCCAGCAAGCATAATTGTTTCCGTGGGTTCAGGACTGGCCTTGGTGGCCGGTAAATCATTAATATATCGTTTTGCCTAAATAGTAAGAAAAAAAAGAGTAAAGCACAAAAGGTTGTTGAGAAAATATACTGAAATTATACATATATATATATATATATATCCAATGAGTTATTATTTCAAGAAAAACAATGCCCATTTCAATAAAGATGTCTAATAAGAGTCCGGCAAGATAGCCAAGGAGAGAGCCGCTTAAAATTTTGCTCTCGTGAGGAGTAACTGCAAAAAATAGTTGGCCAACATTTTTAAAATGCAGATACGAGGGCAAATTAATTTTATGAATAGGAAAATATGCATCTTAAGTTAATTAAGGTTAGATTTCCAAAAAATAAAATGAATGAACCACAAAAAGTCTTTCAAATTTCACCTAGCCTTTCTTCCCATAAGACTACCTTATCCAGGATGGACTAAAGCTTTGAGCTAGACCGGGTTTCATTAGCGCCAAAGGTGGGATTCAATCCACCATGCATGAGACAAGCTTATGGGAAGCAAGGCTAAGTGAAATGCAATGACATACGTACATAGAAAATAATTTTGTGGGTTCTATTTTAACAGTAAATGCCCATGAAAACTCACATGCTCACCGTCATGGTCTCATGGCGTTAACCTATTTTAAGCTAAAATTTATATATTTGATATAAAGGGTCAGCAACACAGCAGTATTTTAATCGAATCCTTTTCTGGTCACGATCGAGTATTTTTCAACACTATAGTCAAAATAGAAGTTGTTTGACCTTGTTTTCGCAACTTGGTCATATTGGTAGGAATACTTAGAGGAG